CATAAAAGTAGCACCTCATCAAGTGCGGTGGCGCACACCTATAATCCCAGCAGCTCAGGAGGCTGAGACAGGAGGATCAGGAGTTCAAAGCCAGCCTCAGCAACGGTGAGATCCTGTCTTTAAATAAAATACAAAATAGGGCTAGGATGTGGCTCAGTGGTCCAGTGCCTCTGAGTTCAATCCCTGGTACCAAAAAACAAAAATAGCATCTCCTTGCTATTATTTAGGTAATACAAACTTTCAGTGATTTGAAATAATCATAGTGGTGGTGGTATTGGTATTCATCCTGAGACCACTGTGTTCTAAAGCTGGCTGTGGTGGTGATAGTGTACCAGTGCGCAGGAATAACCAGGAAGTCACCAAGTGGCATGTTCCAGATGCATAAACTGCATTTCAATAAAGCTGTCACCAATGTCCCACCAAGAAAACCCAGGAAGCACAAAAGAGGATCCTACAACTTCTCATAGCTAGAAGTGAGAGAGCTAGTAAAGACCTGCAACACCGTGTCAAAAGGCATGTAGAAGGCACCTCTGAGAGCCGTCCCCGGGCACAAGGCTGGACCTGGACACCACAAAGAGTAACTTTGCACTGGGTGAAACATGTCAAGCACGCCTAAATTCACTCACTCATAATGATAATTTTCTAAAAAAACATTCATCGGTCATGCTAAAGGGTGCTTGAAAATACTCATGATTTTGAAAACTGGTATACAAAAGAAGGGAACTAAGCTCGACATGAAGGTGACAAGGAGAAGTCTCTCAGACACAATCCAGCTAAGTCAGTGATGAAGGAAATGGCAGATGTCCATGTTCCTGTTCTATAACCCTGAGGAAGCAATGGACACAGGCGTGACGGTTGATGGCCTCTGACACCTCCAAGGGAAAGCCCAGCTCGCTCAAGGATGCAGGGAATCCTCCCAAGCACAAGGCCCCAGTCTGCTGCGTCTTGGATTCCAGCAAGTCGCAGCTGGAGGAGCATGCTGGCAGCACTGCCTGGTGCCCTGCATGGCTTAGATGCGAGACTCTAGGAGCAGCCGCTCTCCACAAGAACAAGTTGCAAGGAAAAAAGTAAAAAAACCCTTCAGACACCGATCAATGAACTCACAGTACGAACTTTATTTGGATCTTGAAGTAAAAAAATGAGCCAGTCAGAAGTAGCAAACCACACCCTGCAGGTCAAATCCAGCCTAGGGCTGGTGTCTGCAAGGCTCTCTAGGTAAGAAGGTCATTTCAAAAACAACAAAAATGAAAACAAAGGGCCCTCTGTGGCCTGGAATGCCTGCAATGTCCCTCTCTCAAACAAGCCTGTCCCAGAGATGGCAGGACATGGCACCTGGGATCTGCTCCCACATCATCCAGGGAGCAGGTAGAGGAAGAGAAGAAACAAAAGTGGCCACGATGAGGGGAAGGACCTAGGAAACCCCGAGAGGCCTCAAGAGTCTCTTCTCTTTCTATTCACTGTTCTGTTTTGCAAGTGTTGAAAATTGTTCATAATAAAACATTTAAAAATAGTCTGAAAAGGATAAAAGAAATGGCTTATTTGAAATGTCAATGTGGCAGACAGGTGGTTGCCCCACAGTATCTGTTCTTCCTAATGGATTTTCAGCTGGGCATATGATCAAGCTCTGGCCAATATAATGTACATGAAAATTTTGTGAGGCTTTCCAAGAAGCCTCCTTAAAGGGAAAGGCATGACTTCGTATTCTCATCTTCCTTGCTGGCTGGAATGTAGACATGATGGCTGGGGATGAAGTGGCTATTCTGAATCACGAAGTAGAATCCGTGTGCTAAGAAGAGCAGGAATGCAAGATGGAAACACCCCTATCTGTGCTGTGACAGTGTCCTGCCAGTCCCTGACTCTCCGTCTCTGTACTCTTACAGATGACACTGAATAAGTTCTGTTTTTAAAAGCTACTATTATTTTGGGGTTTCTTGATATCAGACCTAATCTGAATTGACAGCCAGAAAACATTTCAAAATACTGCTGTTATACAAGCGGAGCCTGGCACCTAAGGTTGATTATGAGGGTGACGGTTAAATGACAGAACTGTAGGCTTCTACGAGTTCTCCCCACAGTCATCAGGGTAAGAAGCCCTTTGTTCACTGGTTTGGAGTGTGTGTGCCCAGAGACTGGGGAGTTTCAGGTGAAGAGGGGAGACCTACAGGGAAGCCTCCACACCTGGAAGGTTTAGAGGAAGGCAGAGCTGAGTGCAGGGAGTTGGGTGCGGAGTCACCATCTAAGGAAAAGAGGAAGAGCTGAAATTCAAGCACAGAGCTGGCAAGATGTGAAATTTGTCAGATTGCCTGGAGAAGAGCCATGGCCACTGTCAGGGACAGGCGAAGTTGAGCTCATCTGGAAATGAGCATTTCTGTGGGGAGCAGTACTCAGCTATGTCCACTGGGCACCCAGCACTCAGACTTCATGTCCAGTACCTCACCTTGCCTGTCCCCAGGCTTCAGGATAAACATCTCAAAACCTCATGGCCAAGCAGGGGCATTTACATGGGGCTTAAATGATGAATGACCACTCACTTAGGGACAAGCATAGTCATCTGGCTTGAAAACATTTTTCAATCTCTCTCCCTCAAAATAAAATTCTGTTTAACAACTGAATGAGTCACCTGAAAGATAGTGAGTGGGTCTGGAGGAACATTTCCCCTCCCAGAGGGATGACAACAGTAGGTACACGCCTTGTTTCTGCACACTCCTGGCCCCTCACAGCCCAGGGACATGGGTGTGTGGGGTGAAGGCAGAGCCTGAGGGACACAAAGGAGGCTCCAGCACAGAGAATCCCTCTGTGCTGAGTGTGGCTCTCCTGCCTGAGGGAGGCAGTGGAGGTGACTGGGTGCACAGGAGGCTCTCTGCCCTCAGAAGGCAAGTCCCCCAGGTGGAGGCCTGCGGGAGCTTTGCTCATCACTGTCTTCACCATCTGGCAACAGAGGCACTCCCTACACACTTCCTAAATAAGTGTGAGAAAAGTGAATCTATAGAAATTCTCAATACAGAATCTCTGTTCTGGTGAAAGTAGTTTTAAGACAACTGGGGAGAAGTTACTGGTTCTTAGACAATGCCAGGTTCAAATCCCACAGGTTCTTTTTCAGTCTGGTCATAGAAAGACTGGAGAAATTCCCTTTTAATGAGGGTGACGCTGTCCTGATTCCATTTCGGGCTGCCGTGAAGCCTGTGAGGAAAGCCCACCTCTTCTGTGCCAACTTGCTTTGCTCTCAGCAGCATCAGCGTGGTGGAGGGACCCACACAGTGTCACCTGGAAAGTGAACAGCAGCATCTCCAGAGGTCTGAACAGTATAGCAGCTGGATGAGTCAAAGCTGAGCTGAGTGCTTTGTAGGTCAGGCCTCCTGCTGCCTGCTGCCTGCGGGGAGCTATCATGAGGAAGCAGCGAGAGTAGCTAAGGGACTAGCATGAAATCTGGAGAGCAACACAGATCTCTCAATGGCCGCACCGGGCTCCACTCTGAAGTCTCATAGGACTTAATAACTCTGGGGGTGCCGAGGACATAGAAGCAGTCAGAGTACACAGGAGCCATGCATCCCTGGACATGAACTCAAATTTCCCTGCAGACACTCAGCTGTCCTTACTGGGTGTTTGAGCTAACTGTGACCACTTGGGAGCAAACTGCCACACCAAACAATGCTTTCTTAGCCTTCCCTTGGGATCCTTGCTCTGCTCTCCAGGATCCATGCAGGAGGCTTTCAGGAAGCTGTGATCTGGTGAGTGTGGAGGAATCTTTCTTGATAAAGAATAAGTACCTCAGCTATCATTTTGAGTTGGTGGGTAGAAGGGAAGAGAATGAAATTTTTCTGAGCCACATTCATAAATCATGCATTTAGTACCACAAAGTTAATAACAAACAGTGCTAATGCCAAGTGCTTAGCATGTACCTGGCACTGTTCCACAAGCACTCCATATACTAACTCCATCCTATCTGCAACCCTATGACACGTGCTTTTACTATTTAAATTTTAAAAAAATTTGTTCTAATTAGTTATACATGACAATAGAATGCATTTTCATACATCATACATAAATGGAGTATAACTTCTCATACTTCTAGTTGGAAGAGATGTAGTTACACAGGTTGTATAATCATATATGCACATAGGGTACATGGTGCTACTATTATATCTATTTATGGACCAGTTAACCAAGGTATAGAGCAGCTAAGGAAACCGCTCATGTGCACTGGCCAGTAAGTGGTGGCCTTGGTATGAAAGCTAGACAGGGTCTCAAGGCCAGCTCTTGACACCATAGGACGTAGTTTTTGTGTAACAGCAGGCTTCCATGTTCCTACTGCCCACAGCTCCAGCCCTGGTCCAAAGGCCCTCACAGGATTCCTGCTCTATGTTTCCCTTACTTTCATCCACCAGGACTTACTCTCTCAAATTAGGGTTTATGCCCCAGAGCCTTTTGGCCTTTGCTTCCCACCTGAACTACAGAGTCATAATTTCCCATTACATTGCTCCTGACTTCCCTGGATGCTGAATCCTCAGACTACACCATAGATATCAAGTAAATACAGGTTCATTTCTTCCTCATCTCATTCTTGCTTTTCTACCAAAAATCCCCAAATTTCCTAGAACATGAAAAGGAAAAAGCTGATATACTGGGAGTTTTGTGAAAAGTCAAGGCAAAAACAATCTCCACATGTACGTAACAACACATCCCTCCATATGAAAAACTACCATGCACCAATAAAAACATGTGGAAGAAGTCTCCACTACACCATATTTCGTGGGCAGTGTGCTCAGAACTGTGATATGGACTCTGAAGACCAAACACAAGATGCCTCTGGTAGCCTTCCAACAGTGTGAACAAGAACTCCACAGGCTTTCAAGAGTCACTTAGACCAGTCCTCAGACTGAGTACCAAAGACTCTGGAAGACATTCATTTCCAGGCATTAAGTTTATGAACAAGCTCCTAACATCAAGCAGGCTGGCTGCTCCAAGTCCCAACCAGGACAGCCTGGAACCCGCCCTGGTACCTTTACTCCATCCAGAACAGCTTTGATGACTCCTTTCACAGTTGTCACCATCTCCTTGTCTTCTGAGTTCACGCCTTCCAGCATCACCTGGTCAGACCAACGGATGAGGTTGGCAAGACTTTGGTACACTCGGCTGTAGCAGGAGGAGAGGGCTGAGCTAGAGGAAGAGAAGGTTTTGAAAAAGAATATGAACAAATCTCAAGCATGACCAATGCCTACAGATGTCCACGTGATGCAGACCAATTTCTCAATGGCCAGGGAATGTTCTTGTCTTGCTTTTTAAAATTCCACACCTCTAGTGAAGAAGCAGACCTCATTTGCCCTGTGCCTTTCTCTTTACAGCCAACCAATATTTTGTAGGGCTCTTAAGTTCTCATCTGTGTTATAATTTTTTAAAAATTTCCAAACTATAACATGAAAATTCCACTAAAACAGTTAACAAAACTTTTCCAAACTTCACATCCCTCTACCCTTCTATGAAATTCTGATGACATCTTATATACCACCCATCTCCTCTGGACAGTCACATAAGCCAAGAGGTCTGTGGAATTTTACTGGGCAGGACCCTTTAAAGGCAGAGCCATGAGCTCAGAAAGACCTGCAGTTTATTAGAATTTCTCCTATCCTGGCTCAATTTTACCAACCTCTTTGCACCATAACTGTGGCTGATAAGTCAGAGGAATGCACTAATGACTGTTCTGAGAAAACGATGAACCAACAAGCAAGGTGACCTGTGATGGTGGTGGGGATGTGTGACAGTGGTGATGCGCGCGCGCGCATGTGTGTGTGTGTGTGTGATGCACCGGCTCTGATGCCAAAACAGGCAAGGGGAGCTGAGGGAGTGCTGGGAGAAGCCCCAGTGAGCACAGAGCAGCAGCTGAGATATGTAAGTTACTCATCTTTCCCAGAGTTTTAAATGACCAAAGAAATGGAAAGACGGTTATCTTTCCATTTCAGACTTAATGCATTATAACAAAGGAAGAGCAAAATATAAAAGGGGACCTCTATAAAGACCTAAAAAGAGCATGCTACAAGGACACTGCTACATCGATGTTCATAGCAGCACAATTCACAATAGCAAGACTGTGGAACCAACCTAGATGCCCTTCAATAGACGAATGGATAAAAAAAATGTGGCATTTATACACAATGGAGTATTACTCTGCATTAAAAAATGACAAAATCATGGAATTTGGTGGGAAATGGATGGCATTAGAGCAGATTATGCTAAGCGAAGCTAGCCAAGCCCTAAAAAACAAATGCCAAATGTCTTCTTTGATATAAGGAGAGTAACTAAGAACAGACTAGGGAAGAAGAGCACGAGAAGAAGACCAACATTAAACAAGGAGGAGAGGTGGGAGGGTAAGGGAGAGAGAAGGGAAATTGCATGGAAATGGAAGGAGACCCTCAGGGTTATACAAAATTACATACAAGAGGAAGTGAGGGGAAAGGGAAAAATAATACAAGGAGGAGGAATGAATTACAGTAGTGGGGGTAGAGAGAGAAGAGGGGAGGGGAGGGGAGGGGAGGGGGGATAGTAGAGGATAGGAAAGGCAGCAGAATATAACAGACATGAGTATATCAATATGTAAATCAATGGAAGTGTAACTGATGTGATTCTGCAAGCTGTATACGGGGTAAAATGGGAGTTCATAACCCACTTGAATCAAAATGTGAAATATGATACATCAAGAACTATGTAATGTTTTGAACAACCAACAATAAAAAAAAAAAAGGGGGGACCTCTAGCAAAGCCTGCTGCCTTCCACCCTGTGGCTCCACCAAAGCATGGCACAGCTGAGCTTCTAGGGATGATGAGGTAGTATGAGGACACTAGTGTTTAATACTTAATATCAACCAGCATCAGTTGCTGAAGGTCCCCTGCAGGCACTGAAAGAGCTGGCAACACACTATAACAATTAGCTACAGGATTTAGCTAAGGTGACTCTAGCAAGGATTTTCCCAGAGGCTGACTAGCACTGGAAGGTGGCAAGAGAGGTGATGCATCCTCTCTTGCCACCACCCTCTCCCCTGCCCACTGGCCTCAGGTCCATTGCTACCCTTTGTCTCTTCACTTCTAGTCAACTCTGGCCTCTCCCAGGTCTGCGCAGTTCCTCCTCTGAGAAGTCTGGTCAGACTAACTCTAGCTCTCTCCAAACTCTCCCTTCTTCAAGTCCCAACAGAGCTTCTAACTTGATACCACAAATCAGCTCCTTTGTTATCTGAGAAGGATTTCCAACTAGGTTTTAACTCTTCCCTGGCAGGGACCATTACATGAAAACAGATATTTAAGGGCATTTAAAAGGGAGTCATCATGCATCTAACTACAGCCTAAGGTCAGACTCTCTCAAAGAACAGACCGAGCCCTCCTGGGAGCTGGGCAAGGATTAACCATAGGATTCATGGCACAGACAGCTAAGCCACACCACCCAGCAGCAAGGAGCGTCTAGCCTAAAGGTTATGATCTCTAGCGATCAGCAGAAATGCCCGTGGGAAGCTCAGGGCAGAGAGTTCCCTGAAAATAGACACTATTGACTTTATCTTCCACAAGAAGGGAACTGAATTTTGTTGCCAAGTTCTGAAAGTCATTCATAAAACCTCAGCCTCCTGGGGGCCAATAACTACTGAGCCATCTGGAGAAACTGAAACAGAGATGCATTCACCTTGAACAGGTACCATGGATAAAAAAACAAATAATGGGCCAGCCTTGGAAGAAAAAGTTCCTGCTAGGCTTTCATTTGAGATTACATTTAATATGGCCCTTCTTTTTATACTTAGCAATCAATATGGGGCCAACCGCCTACTGACCTTTAAGAAGAAATGCACTCCAGCAGTATAAGCCCCTGAACTCAACAAGGCCACCCAGCCCCCAGTCCCCCCCACCTAGTCCACAGGCTGCTTAGGAGGCCCTGGTCTGCCCCGCCCCAGACAAGGGTTCTCCTACTCTAGCCCTGAGGCTGGTTCTTCTCTCTTTCCTTAATCATTCAAGCAACTGAAGACTCTCGGGACTGAAGGTCCTAATAAAAGGTGGTTAAAAGTGTAGGGAGACTGAGGGTACTTAGATAATGTCCCCTGGTTTGGCAGTAACCTGCCTTAGTGTCAAGGCCCCAGGAGGAGCAAGGATCTGTTGCCAGAACAGCCCAAGATCAGCTGGGAGAGAGGGGAAAGGATCCTTTTCTATTCCTAGAAACCTGTGTTTTGAGGACACCAAACCAAGATGCCTCTGCACCCTCACTGGTGACACAGCCAAGGACTTGGGAGCAACTCACCTGTGCTGGATACGAGGGTCAGTCTGCACCAGAGGTAAGACGGCCTCCAGCACCTTGCTGGCAGAGCCCGGGAGCATCTCCAGCACCTTCTTGTCCACAGCCATTTTGTCCACAATGGTCTTAAAGTAGCGCAAGGCACTGACGACTTCCTTCTCCTTCTCCTCCAGCCAGCTCAGGTTCTGAAAGGAAACATAAAGCATAAGCAGGAGGAGCGAGCTTTAAGGGAGCTGTTTGAAAAATAAATGAATAAAAGTTCCTGCAAACCAGCTTGAGACTGCTGAGAACAGAAAACATTCTGGCTGTAGAAACTAAGTCAGATTATTTTTCCGTGGCTTGTGATCAGCAGACATAGGCCAGACCTGAAGGAAGAAGGGGTTTGGACTAAGAAAGCTGAGAAATTCCTGAATTCTCTCCCCACACCTGAGGTCCCCAAACCATTCTCTTCCATGTCCTACGCAGCTACACTGAGAACCACCTCTAATCTCAGGAAGTGCAGCATGTGCTGACTTGCTGCTATCTTGCAATAGCCCAGTCCCATGGCACACCTGTCCTATAAACCAACTTGGAGATCCCAGGTTTTTCTTCCAAAGACCCAAGGGTTTTCAACCCATCTCCCACACTGTTCAACCTCCTCTCAACACAATGTCATGCCACCCCCACAGTACCTGGCAACCCAGGGCTGGAAGGGTGGGAAACTCTGGCGTGAAAGCTGAGATTGCTGGAGAGATGGCAGCAGTTCAGCTGCTACTTGTGCAGTGGCTGCTGACAGCATCCAGGACCTGTTCCTGAGGAAAGCTGCCTGTGAGGGCGCTACATGTTCCAGAACTCAAGCCAACCACACCATCCTTCTCCTTGGATGTGGCCACACCCCCTTCCGTTCCTTTCTTTCAACCTCCCCGTGGAATGACCGTGTATTGTCCAGACCCCAGATGGCAGGTGGGAGAACTGAGTAATGTACCCAAGGGGCAGGGCCATGAGTGGAAGAGGACTAGAGAATGCTAATAAAAGCAACCTAGGGGGCTGGGGCTCAGTGGTACAGCGCTTGCCTAGCACCATGAGGCACTGGGTTCAATCTTCAGCACCACATAAAAATAAATAATAAAGGTACTGTGTCTATCTACAACTAAAAAAATAAAATATACATTAAAAAAAGCGCTCGAGGGCAAGAAGAAACTTCTAGAAGACACTGGTACAGACAGTAGTTTATAAATATACAAGTACATGACACAATATTATAAAAATGATTTATGATTTTGAATCCTAGTTCTTTTCTTCTAAAATGAGAGGGAATGTCCCTTTAAACTTTAAAAAGTTCAATAGAGGAATTATTTCATAGGAATCTCAAAGAAAAATCTATAAGTGAATGGGATCAGTGAGTAAACAGGTTCTTCAGTCAGTCTCCTCCCAAAGACCCAAGTGACTCCCCTCTGTGGGTTACCTCCCCAAGGTGTTCTTGAGACCAGGAAACACCTCCAGCACGGAGTGCCCTCTTCTCTGTGATTACTGGGCACCCGTCTCCCTCACCTTCTTTCCCCCTTTGACTCCTAACAGGTCTGTCTGCTCACTGTCTCTAGGCACTGGTCTTTCTACCTCTGGGCAAGCGCTCTCGGCTTCACCATCACCTACCCATAGCCTGGAGGAGCCTGAGAAGCCAGTCCTCACTGTGCTTGCAGACAGCAAACACGAACCAAAGCCATGGCTTGTCCCGCAAGAGGAGGACTAGGACAAACACTACCATCTTGGCACATCAGAAAATGCTAGAAGCCAGCAATGATGAAACTTAGTGAGGAACAGGACATATTTTTAGAAAATGTGTGTCACTGGGTATGTAAGGGAGAAAGACATTGGCAGGCACTTCAGAGCAGAAAAGAAACCTTCTCTGTCACTACAGAGAGGACTCATCAGCCATGTAAGAGCTGGCGGCCTGGGCTCTTAGGAAAGTGAGTGACGCACTCTTTAGCCTCCAGCAAAGGTTGTTCCCAGAATCCATGGCTAAACCTAGAGCCTTCCCAGCCTTTCGGTGGTGGAGCAGAGTGTACAGTGACATACCCGCTCCCAGCACTAGCTGGACCTGGGGACTTGTTAACTGTGACTTTGCTAATGTTGCCCAGCCTCATACTCTTGGTATGGCGGATGCACCCACCTGCACACCCTTGCTGCCCTGAGGAAACAGTTGCTGCTCTTGGTCCCCACAAGCCTGTCCTGGGAGGGCCTAGATCCAAGGCCCACCATAGCTTTTGGGAAGCCCTAGATTCTGGGCTCCCTGTCTGCAAAGCAGGTAGCACATATCTGCCCTGTGTGACTGCAGAGACCAATGGGGGTGGGGGATGAATGAGGACATGGATAGAAATAATTTCTAGCACTTCACAGACACAATACCAGCACCAGAGATTTTATATCTGCCAATAATAAAGCAAAGCTGGACAAAGGATGCAAAAATCTAAAAAGGAAGAAAAAGGTCTGGATTATAGCCACCACTCACTGGGTACCACAGGCCATCTGCAGGACAGGGTGAACCATTTCATGAAGGCTACAACCACCCCATGGAGCAAACACTATTATTCCACAGGTGAGGAAGCAGGGCTTGGTGGCCAGTGGGGAGGTCAAACAACATGCCCACAGTCAGACACCAGTAGTGACAACTTGGCCTGTTTGATTCCAGAGCCTGGGGAGGCTGAGAGGGGAAAAAAGACTGATCAAGGGGCTGGGATTGTGGCTCTGCAGTAGAGCACTCGTCTAGCACATGCAAGGCCCTGGGTTCGATCCTCAGCACCACACAAAAATAAATAAACAAAATAAAGGTATTGTGTCCAACTACTTCCAAAAAAAATATTAAAAAAAAAAGACTGATCAAAGTACCTTGGAATAAGTAAAGAAATGCATTAGCAATCCCTCGCTCCAAAGCTCTCATTTCCTAAATGAAAAAACAAGGCCCAGATGGACAGAAACTGAAATTGCTTTCCTGCTGGGTGGAGGGTGGTGTCAACTGGACCCAAGGCTGTGCCTGGCTGCAGTGGGCTGCTAAGAAGGACAGCTGTGGAAAAGAGGAGGAAAACTGGCCTGTTCTTCACGCCCTCCCTTGACAGCAGAGCAGCAGTGACACCTAACCTGCACTCCACACCCTCATTCCACCTGCAGCCTTGATCTCTGCTCCCCAGAAACCCAGTCTCATTTCCAGCACTACAGGACAAGGAACTACACAAATCTGAGCTAAGCTGGGGCTGGGGGAAAGCAAGTTCAAATTAGCACTTTGAAAAACCAGCACTGTGGAACTATTCACAGACAGCGCAACACTGCTTTCCTTTTTTTTTTTTTTTTTGCTGGGCCAGTTATAGCAAGCACAGAACAGTAGTGCCCACTGCCAGGCCCTTGGGTACTGACATCTCCCTGCTTATGTTTCTTATAGGATTGTGACAGCTGAGAGGAAACCTCTGCAGGAGTCTACTCAAGAGTGCCAGGATCAGCACTGTCCAAATGGCCCCCAGGTTGGAAAACTCATCCCTTCTGGACTATTTCTAGACATAGTAATTATGATCACACAGGACTGTCAACTTTGAATTGAGTATTTGGCTAAATTTTCTGTACTACTTTATAATGCTCCATAGCTTACTACTAAGCTTGTTAAAAGGTTGTAAAAAGAGTTTATAAATTTAGCTACAGATATGAGACAATTAATGTATCTAAATGAAATGAGTCTGAGAAGACAACAGAATATGGTAGAAAACAGGCTTTGATTAAGAAAAGCTGGGCCAATATCGACTCTGTCCATACACTGGGTATAATAAAAGCCTTTTCCACATGATTACAGTGAGGAGAACGGGAAACAGCATGTGCCAAGCCACCCAGGACAGGGCTGGGGCAAAGGGAAGCCTCTGTAGGTGCCCAAACCTGAATCTGTACAACCCCCTAACTGGGAGAGCAGGCACACAGCCAGGATAGGGGAGAATGGGTGTGCACTACATTATCCAAGTGGCAAGGGAACCAATGAATGGCAGACAAGCTAGCAGAGAGTCTCTATAGCGGTCTCTGATAGGTGGCAGACCCCTGCAGCTGTCGTTCTGCCTGCAGAGCTGCCCCACTAAACAGCAGGTATGCCCTCGTTTATTGCAGGCAGGTGGATCAGGCCAATAGTTGTCCTAGCAGAAGGTCACATCTGCAGTCTGGCACTACCAATGTGGTTCCATGCTTTGTATGTGTACTGTGGGAGGTCTAGCAGCCCCTACCACCCCCAACGAGGTGCCCAGTAGCGCCTGCTTCACCCTCCTGTGCTGACAATTAGAAATGAATGTCCCTAGATACTGCCAAACATCCCCAGGGGTTTGGAGGAGCCACACTATGCGAGGGGTGCTTCCATATCACATTTTCCTCTATGACCTCTCCTGGGATAAAGAATAAAGAGGGGAAATTCAAGAATCGAAAGGCTGAAATTTGCTGAGTTCAGCAGCAGGGCAAAGCTGTTGGTAAACCATTTTGCTTTGCTCTGCTCTGCCTGGACTAGCATCGGGTGGCAGCTCACTCTCCTTGGAGGTCAACACAAAACAAAACTAGCTCAAGCACAGTCCAAGCCATGCCCTCCCACTCTGCTTCCTCCTGGAATTCAGATCTCTGGCATGGGCAAGACTGCCCTTGTGTCACAGGCTCCTGTAGTTAACACACTGGGCAGAAAAAAATATTATCCAACAAAAGACTTTTGAATTTAAAGACCTTATTTTCTCTATTCCTAACTAGGCTTTTAAGATATTTTGCTGGCCAACAGGAAAACCAAAAGTAGATGAATCGTAAAATTCAAGAATTTTATGCTTAAACAATGGGATAATATTTGTCAACTGTGCTTAATTGGTGGCTGTGACACCATGATAGGTTCCCTCTGAATAATCACTAGAGGATTAAGGATCAATTTGTCTATGAAGTTTGCTTTTATTTTACATGATTAATTTTATTTTTTAAGCATAGTAATACATCAGGATCAATATTTAGGTGTGTGAGACATTAAAAAACAAACAAACACTCTGGCTTCCTTTCTTTAAAAAAAAAGAAATGTAGTATCAGGTAAGTCAGGCTCTGACAGAGGATGGCCTGTGCCCAAATCTTGCTGGGTGACTGGCTAAATGCTTCTTATCTCTACAGACCCAGTTTCCTTTACGGCAAAACAGATTTTTTACCTGTTAGGGCCACTGTGAAGATTAAAGAAGAAAACATCTGTCAAGCAGTGAGCATGGGCCAGGAAAAGGACCCTGCACTGTTGGCAGCAAAGTCCTGGCCCCAGAGCACTGGGCCCTTCCCCCCGACCCCAGCCTTGCGGATGGCTAGGACAGTGTCCAGGTTTCTTGAGCTTTCCAAGCCTCCCTGCGCAACGACTCACCTCATCTCAGCAATTGAAGGAAAGTACAGCTGCTTTCCAGAGGAGAGGCTCATCCACCCATCCCTGAACCTGCTGGGCCCAAGCAGCACACCCACGCCAACCCTGGAGAGGACCCCAAACTTCTGTAGGGTATTGAATTCTCTCCACAAACCAAGAGAGCTTGAATAAACATTCTCTTTATCCAAGGCCCTGTGAATTCTTCTGTACACTTCAGCCCAGTTGTCACCCAGTCAGAAACAATGATACTGCAATAGAAGTTTTCGTATCCCCAAACCATGGGCCAGGATTCTGCAGTAGAAGGCAAGGCAAAACCAATTGTTCTTAACGTCACACTGACCTTCTGCCTCTGAGACCTGGAAGCCACAGCACTGGTGGACATAAATTCTACTGCCTGCTGCTCCAGATCCAAGGGGATAGGGTAGCCCTCTGGTAGAAATCTGTCTCTTGCCTCCTGGAAGAGAGGAAACCTGGATTCCTACAGAGCTTAAAATGGCCGTGGCAGGCTGAAGGGGGGCTGGTGAAAAGCAACAGTGGCTCAACATCCTGGCTGGCTGGCCCTGCTGAGGTTACTAATACCTGAGGACATCTCTGGTTGGGTCCCAGGGGTTTGCATGTTTCAGAGCCCTAAAGCCGAATGATGGGCATTCTGGACATTACAAACTTCCCGTGTATGACTGTGCCCAGGACAATGTGAGGACCTCTGGCAGGAGGCAGCATCTGGGGTGTGAGCAGTGCCCAAGGAAGACACAGCTCGGAAGGGAAGACTGTCCTAGCCAACTAGCTGACTGACATGGCACTATCTAAAGGAGACCCAGGGAGCACACCTACAAAGAGCGCAATTCCCACTGCGGGCTGCAGGGGAGGGCAGCACTGACACCTGGAGAGGCAGCTTACTTTGTTCACAGGCTTCTCTGGAATCTTCACAGACACCTCGGCAGGCTTTCCCTTCTTTGATGGTGTTCTCTTGATTTTGGGCGAGTGGAATTTGTCCATCAGCTTCATGGTGAAGGAGGAGAGATGAGAGCGCTGAGAGTCTGAGAACACAGAGGGACTGACCGTTAGAGGGTGGAGGCCAGGAGTCTGTGTCTGCTGAGCTGCTGGGGAAAGAGCAGTGTCCACACTGCACTCTCTCTCTGACCAGGGATTCAAAGGAAAGGAAATTGCACCCACTGAGTCATCTCTGGGGCTGAGGTAGTTCAGAGGCAGAGCACTAGCCTAGTATGAGGAAGGCCCTGGGTTCCATTGTCAGTACCACAAAAAAGAAAACAAAAATCTCTGCTCTACTCACATTTCAATTTTTGCAATTTCCATCTAGGTTAGGTTGTTCAGAATTGGGGACACCAAAAGCAGTCAAAATGGGTATGGAGAAAGGGTTTACAAATATGTCTAAGTGTCCTTTTCAGTCTGTTTCATGATGTAACCCACGTCCAAAGGAACTAGCTAGGAAAAAGGAACACAGGCAGAATCACAAGCGCAGGGTGTAAGAGCTAGCAGGGAGGACCTTCCAAGACAACTCTTCATCCTTTGGTGTGGGGAACTGCCTCAATCCACAAGGGCCAGCCCCAGATCTGATAGTGGAGACTGAACTGGAAACAAAGTACTCAAACCCTTCTGGGCCATGGCAAAAGGCTGGATGATCTCCCCCATCTAAGATCCAGATGAGACTAGCATGTCTGCTTTCACCATTCTGACCTGACACTGCACTGCAGAGTATTGCAGGAAATTAGGCAGGAAAAGAATATAAAAGGCATCTAGATTGGAAGGGGATATGCAAAACTGTTTGTAGACGACATGACTGTGTGTATGGAAGCCCTCAAGCAATCCCCTAGAAAACTGTACTGAGCTGTGGGGGCAGCACAGCGGTAGAGTACTTGCCTAGCATGTCTGAGGCCCTGGGTCCATCCCAGCACTGTGAACAAACAAAACAACTATTACTACCCATAAACCCAGTAAAGTCACAGGATCCAAGATCAATACACAAAAGCCAAAACTGTATTTATTTACAAGAGCGATGAACATTCCAAAATGAAAATTTAAAAGCTCGCGTTTATATCATCAAATATCAGTTGATGATATTATAATATTTATATTCATAAATATAATATAATATTTATAATATATAAATATAATGTATTCATTATTTTATAATTTATTTATATCATTATGAATAATATAATATTTATGAACATAAATAACATCTTATAATATTTCATCTATATTATCTTCAAAAAGAATAAAATACTCAGGCATAGATTTGACCAAATAAATGCAAGACTTATACACTGAAAACTACAAAATATTGCTGAAATAAAAATCAATGACAATCTAAGTGAATGGAAGGGTGTCTTCTTCCATGGATCCAGGCTCACGGTTGTCAGGAGATTAATACTCCCTGAATGACAGCTTATGGGCCCTATGAGAACCCCAGTTGGCTCTTCTGTAGGAATTGAAATGCTCATCCTAAAACCAGTATGGAAATATAAACAATCGGGCTGGGGATGTGGGTCAAGCGGTAGCGCACTCGCCTGGCATGCGTGTGGCCCGGGTTCGATCCTCAGCACCACATACAAAGATGTTGTGTCCACCGAAAACTAAAAAATAAATATTAAAAAAAAAAGAAATATAAACATCCAGAATAGTCAAAGTAGTCCTGGAGAAGAACCAAGCTGGAAGACTCATACTTCTCAATTTTAAAATTGTTAGAAAGCCATGCTAATGAAGACAATATGGAATCAATGAAGACAGATATGTGGATCAGTGGACTAGAACTGAGGATCCAGAAAGAAACTTGCATGAAGCCAACTAATTGCTTTTCAACCAGGAAGCCAAGATCACTCGGTAGAGGAAAGAACAGTCTCTTCAACAAATGGTGCTGGGATGATGGAATGTCACATGCCAAAGACGAAATCTGGGCCCCTGCATCACACCATTTGTAAAAATGAGCAAGTGAATGAATGCAAGGCCTAACCCAAGACTTGGAACCATAAAACTCTTAGAAGAAAACACTGGAGTTTCTGTGACCTTTTATTTGACTATGTATTCTTAGATACAATGCCAAAAGCACAAGCAACAAAAGTAAAAACAGATAAGTGGACTTCAATAAAATAAAAAACTTATTGTTGCAATGGTCCCATCAAGAGAGTGGGATGATGACCTGCAGGATGGGAGAAAATATCTGCAAATCATACATCTGATAAGGGATTGTATACAGAAACAGGAAGAAGTGGGAATATAGCTCAGTGGTAGAATGTTTGCCTGGCATGCATGAAGCCCTGCATTTAATTCCCAGCAAAGCAAAGAAAAAAGAGTACAGGCTGGTGGCTTGGAGGTAGAGCACTTGCCCAGCACGTGCAAGGCACTGGGTTTGATCCTCAGCACCACATAAAATCAATAAATAAAATAAAGGTATTGTGTCTATCTACAATAAAATATTTTTTAAAAAAGGAGAGAGAGAGAGAGAGAGAGAGAGAGAGAGAAACTGAAAGAATTCTTACAACCCAACAATAGAGAGATAACCCATAAAATGAACAAAGAACTTGAAATGGGCATTTTTCCAAAGAAGATGCACAACTGGGCAATGAGCACATGGGAAGATGTGCTCATCTGAACTGTGCATCACAGTTCCTTAGGGAAATGTAAGTTGTAAAACCACAGTAAGTTACCACCTCACACCAGGTATAATAAAAAAGACAAGACAATGCCAAGCATTGGTGAGGACTGGAGAAACCGGAAGCCCCAGACATTGTTGGTGGGTGTGTAAGATGGTGCAGCTGCTTTGGGGTCACCTGAAAGCTCCTCACATAATACCCAGCAATTCTTTTTTTTTTTTTTTTTGCACCAGGAATTGAACATAGGAGTACTCAACCACTGAGCCATAACCCCAGCCCTTTTTAATAGTTTATTTAGAGGCAGGGTCCCACTGAGTTGCTTAGGGCCTCAACAAGTTGCTGAGGTTGGCTTTGAACTCGTGATCTTCCTGCTTCAGCCTCCTGAGCCAATGGGATCACAGGTATGTGCCACTGCACCCCGCTGACCCAGCAATTCTACTCCTAAGCATATGCCCAGGAGAAGTGAAAATTTATATATAATGGAATATTATTCAGTAATAAGAAGGAAATGAAGCACTGACTCATGCCACAACATGGATGAATCTTAAAGACATTATGCTAAGTGATGGATGCCAGTCACAAAAGACCACATATTGTATGATTTCTTCTATCTGAAATGTCCAGGATAGTAGATCTATAGAGACAGAAAGTAGAATGGTGGTTGTGTAAGACTGTGGGGGGAGGGTAGGAGGGAGCGTGACAGCTGATTGGTTTGGGGATTCTTCTGGTGGGACAAACATCTCCTAAAATTAGAACCTGATGCTGGTTGCACAACCCAGAGAATTATTAAAAGGATGTTCAAGTGTACATTTAAAATGAGTGAACTGCATGAGAGATGAACTGTATCTCAGTGGAGCTGGGCATTCTCCCTCCTTCTCACCCTTTACCACAATCTTTGAGGGTCTGAAACCATCTTATTAATTGACTTATTTATGTATTTGTCTCCTCACAAGAATGCGAGTGTCCTGAGGGCAGCAGGACATGCCTGTTTTCCCAGTGCTGACACTGTTCCTGACCACAGGAAAGATGCTAAATGACAAATGGGCAAGTCAATCTACCAGAACATGCCCCAGAAAAGAGACTGCTTCTTTTGATAAAAGCAGAGAGAGAGGTTCTTTGTACAAGAAAGTCCACAAAACATCATCCTATGCATGGAAAAGTAAGAATCTACAGTTTTAAAAATAAAAGGCATTCCATCAAATTTTCCGGGGCAGGGGCAAAAAAACCTCCTCCAAATAGTGTGCACACATGAACGCATGTAGAGATCGATGACGGGGCACTTTGCACCGTGGAGCTGCAATTGTAGCCACTACTGTTTCACGTGACTTAATAAGGCCAAAGTCCAATTCCTTTTTGTCATAGAGCTTTCAGGTGGCCAAGCAGGATCAGTTAAACTATCTGCCCTGTGCAAGTTACCCAGGAGCTTGGAGCAAGTAGAAGAGGGCAGAGCCAGGACAGTGGATGCTGGCGAGAGCTGCGGGAAACCCTTCCTGGGGCCCTGATATAGTCACAGGTCCCCAGGAAGCAATGCATCTAGCTGGTTGCCTGGACTGGCTCACGAGTCAGGAGGGGCTCTGGGCACCAGCCTATACCCCTGGGACTTAGGGCAGGCAAACTGGGACAGTGTGATTTCCCATCTCCCTCTGTACCCACCTTCCACTTCCCACTCAAGCAGGGTGGAATGCATTCACAGTTGACATTCCCACTTTATAGTCAAAATCATGTGATGGTTAACACAGCATGCACACAGACTGCTTGGGCTGAAATATGTAGAAGTTTCTCCTCTAACTCTTTTGCTGTTTTGTCCTGAAAGTGGGGCTGGAACAACTGTCCTTCTTGAAATGGCTGAGGTTATGTATATAAATGAGTTTCTGCTTGTGGTGAACGCACGCAGGAGAAACTTACTTCACTTGTGATGCTTTTCTGGCCTGCAACGTGTGGTACAGTCTGGGCAAGGCGGCAAGCCACAGTCTCCAGCTGGCTATGCCATCACGAGAGAAGAGACTAGCACTCAACAGCGAACCATGTGGACAGCATTTTGTGAATAAGGGTATTCAATAAATTGCACAAGATATTCAACACTCTATTGTGCAGTAGGCTGTGTGTTGGATGCTGCTGTTCAACTGCTGGCTAAGGGAAGTGTCCCAGGCATGGTCCCAGTAGGCGGGGCTCGTCTGCTCTGAGAGTTAGGTGTCGCATCTACATTCTTCACTTATGCTGTAACTTGCAATGTGTTTGCTGGGATTAAACTCATGGTAAGTCAAGGAGTATCTGTAGTTAGCCAAGTGCTTAGCATGCTCAATACCAGGCAGCAGTGCTTACCGATCTTTAGAGGTTGTTCTGTAGCACTGAACACTTAGCTCACTCTCCTGAGTAAATGAGAGCCTTACAAATGCCCCTTCCATTTGCCTATTAATCCACTTCCC